CTGTGCCCTGACCTGTGGACTGGGGTCCACTGCGGTGGGAAGGACACTCAAACTGCCTCCACCGACAAAACCACGAACCCAAACTTCTCACAACAGCGTAAACACAAGCCGTATCACATTGCTGGGGGCGGGGTGCAGAGACTGGCACCCTCCGGGACCCGATCCTTTCCTAGGCACTCACGGCGCCCCACGCCCTCCGCTCACCCGCGGCAGGGCCGGTGGATTTGGAGGGCGGCTGGAGCAGCAGGTTGTCCACCAGGCGCTGGCCTCGACGCTGCCACTGCAGACGTGCGTTCTCCGCTGGGGCAAACGGACACACCCACGGTACCGGCCACACTGCCACTGACCCGGCGGACGCCTCCCCAAACCTGCAGGAGTGCCCAGCAGCGGCGGTTTGCTCTCGCCCGGCCCGGCCCGCAACACCCCGCCACGGTGCCAGTCGGAGGTCTGTCAACTCTCAGCCCTCGTCATCACCTCTCTCTCCCCAGGGCACCGCGCAGGGGATGTCAGCGCACGGAGGACGCAGTGCTGAGTGGACCCAGAGCGCAGGAAGCAGACACTCTCCCACGCCCACAGCCAAGACACTTGCACGCGGGGCTCGGTGGCAGACGGGGAGCCCCAGGAGGTCCTGGAGGTGACCCAGTGCAGGCTCGGATTTTAGAGCAAACTCATGGCTCCTCTGCGGGTGACTCCTCTCCTTCTGAGACACTGCTCTGGGCTCCGTGCCAACTGCAGGCTCGACCGGGTGGTGGGACTAGAACATTAGGAACTGGGTCTCGTGCGGTTTTGTGGGTCACACGCACGGTCGCCCCCTCCACCCCTCGTGGACACGCAGCACCTGCCACAATGGCTCCACTTCCCCCAGTTCCTTCAACTTCTGAGACCTGGGACCTGGGGCCAGCTTCTGCAGGACCCTCACCACCAAGGCCACGGCCACAAGACTGGACACAGGCTCTCATCCACCCTAGGGCTTGGTTTCCCAGCTCGCACCCACCATCCTGTCCCCTCTGCCTGCACTGCAGACCCCTGGTTCTGGCGCAAAGACACTCACCCGGCTCCCAGGACGGCTGACGCCAAACCGCCAGTGTCACGGACGTGGCCTCCCAGAGGTTCTGCTTCTCTGACCGAGCCCAGGACAGCCCAGCCCTGGGAGAAGGGTGCTGAGGCCCCAAGACTCAGAGTGAATGAATGGACGTGAGCCTTCCCTGCAGAACTGTCTAGGGCCCTAACCCACCAAGGGTCACAGTGCACATCAGGAGGGCAGATCAGGCACAGGTCCCCAGACGTACTGGACCGCAGACTGTCTTTCCTTGTGGAGCAACTCAGGGCCCTCAGGGAGCCCTGAGACCCAGAACGAATGGGGGGCCACAGTTGTGGGCTCCCTCCCTCCAAGCCGTCCGGGCAGGGCCATGCGGGTCCCACCAGGAGGCTGCGGACCTCACCCCGCAGCACGGCTGTGTGTGCACGCTGGCCTCTCGCCCAGGCCCCGAGGGCACGGGGAGAGAGGACTTCGCCTCAGTGACGGGGACAGGCCACAGTGACGCTGAGCCTGACGACACGGCGCCCTCAGTCCTGGACAGCACACGTACATTGTGTGTGTGCCTGTACTGTTACGTGGCCATTATGTGTACCACCCCTGTGGAGCAAGCAGGTAACAGGTATCTCCTGTGACAAAAACAAAAACCTGCGTAAAGATGGCAGGCTGGACAATCTGGTTTCTGGAGGCTGGTTGGCAGCCTGGCTGGACTGGTACCGACCACGCCCAGGCCCAGCCCGGCCCCTCTGCCCCCAGGCCTCCGAGCACCTCAGATGCTCACGGGCACGGTGGACCTGCCCTGGCTCCTGTGCCCGGACGGCCTCCGACCCCGGAGGGGCTAATGTGCCAGGCCTTCTATGACCAGACCGCCGGCCCGCCCACTGCGATGGTGGATGAGTGAGTCTCTCTCCAGCTGCTCTGCTCTAGGAGGCCGTGGGTGTTTGAGGAGAAGACAAGAGTCCGCTGGGCCACTGGCCACACACGCGGACGCCTACCTGAGAGGGAGAGCTTCCGCAGGGCAGCCGTCAGGTGCTGCAGGTCCCCGGGCGACGCTTCATGGCTGCGCGTGTCTGTGGCCGGAAACTCCTGACACCGTCCAAACAGCCCGTCTGCGGTGGGGAGCAGAGAAGGAAGAGGGGTGAGAGAGGAGACAGACGGGCAGGCCCTGGCACGTCCCCGCGAGGCCCCGGAGAGGCTTCCGTGAGCTGCCAGAGCGGAAGAACTTGGAGGACGCGGGGCCTCGGGAAACAGACCCCAGGGCCGTGAGCCCAGGGTGGCTGGGTTTCCCGTTTACTCTCCAGCCCCCGCACCAGCCCAACACACGTGCTCTGCAGGGGAACCGCCGGCCACGTGGGAGGCGCTGGCGGTGGGACGGAGTGGCGGCTGGCCTCGAGGGGGCCTTCTGAGAACGGAGGAGGCGGGGTGCTCGCAGAACAGGAGACGTTAACGGGACCCATTTATCCAGCTCTGTCCCATTTGTCTGAAATGACAGGCTCTGCTCATCGACATCCTTTCAAACCGCACCTTCTAATTAATTTAGGGCCTAATTAGTCTTTATTTGGCAAATTGTTCACTTTGAGACAAGCTTCCTGTGGGGGGTTCAAACATTCAAATCGCCGCCTTTGGTACAAAAGGCTAATTCAGGGCCCAGCGCCTCACACGGGGCGTCTGCAGCCTCGGTCGGTGGAGGGAGCAGCTTCCATTGTTCACAGCAGTTTCACTGCGCTGCTGACGGAGCTGAAGAAAGCCATTCAAATGCAACCAGTTTAATTAGCAGAAGCACAGTTGCCCAGAGCCAGGCTCATCAGTAATTGCCGGTCAGATATCACACATGTGCTTAAGACGGCACCACATGACCAGGAGAGAACCATCTTAAGCACCACAAGGATCTCCTGGGTTCCTGTGGGGCTCCACAAGCCCAGAGTGTCCAGGAGGCCACCTGCCTGCTGCTCGGAGCAGGCGGACATTGGCCACGGGAGGATAAACCTCTGCCCCAACTCGCTGGGCCTACGGCGCTGCTGAAATTAACACAGCTGCCCCCCGGCCCCAGGGACCCCGGCAGTGGTGTCTCCGAGGGAGGGTCTGGTCCCCACCCAGCAAGACACAGACAGCCCGGGACACTGTCCTTTGATTGTTTCCTGCGAAGAACTCCGTGCCTGCGGGTGGTGTGTCGGGGGGGGGGGTGGCGGGGGCGGGGAGGAGGAAAATGATACTCTTTAGAATCAACTGGGACTTTCGCTCCAGTTTGCAAATGGAAATATCTTGAAAGTCGAGACTGGAAGAAGCATTAAGATGGTCCAACTCCACATTTCACAGATGAGAAAGCCAAGGCCGGAGTGTGAGGACCACAGCCACCGGAGGCAGAGAAGTCGGGTCCTTGTCAGCGACCAGCTAAAGGCCCGGGGCGACCACAGCACCACAGATGCGCCAGCCACTCGCCTCCCTCAGGAAACTCACCCATCACTCAGGGTGTCACCGAGAAAAGTGGGCAAGACCTCGCCCACCTATTTCAGAGCGTCCCAAGCACATTATTTCCTTTCTGAGGCAAGGGCCTCGTTTGTTTTTTTTTCAACATTTTTGTATTGAGTTATAGTCATTTTACAACGTTGCGTCCAACTCCAGTGAAGAGCACAATTTTTCAGTTATAATGAACATACATATACTCATTGTCACATTTTTTTCTCTGGGAGCCACCACGAGATCTTGTGTATATTTCTCCGTGCTACACAGTATAGTCTTGTTTGTCTGTTCTGCATATGCCTGTCAGTATCTACAATTCTGAAATCCCGTCTGTCCCTTCCCACCCCCGCCCCCTTGGCAACCACAAGTCTGTGTTCTAGGTCTGAGTCTGTTTCTGTTTTGTGTTTACGCTTTGTGTGTGTGCGGTTTTTTTTTTAGATTCCACATATGAGCGACCTCGTGTGGTAAAAACCACTGTCTGTAATTTGTTCTTATGATCAGTATTTTCCACTTGTGTAGCTTTTTAACTACCCGTTTTTTAAGTTTGGGTTGTGGCGCACGCTGCTATAAATGTGTCCTAAGGAAAATATTAATTAGATTTTCCTGAAACCTTAATTTTAAACATATGTTTACAATAAATACAACACAATATACAATATTGGTTGTGTCTTTAAAATTAGTTTCAGCGAATAATTCAGTTTTTACTGTTTGAAAGCTGAAGGCAAACGGACCATTGACCCTCTCTGCCCCTAGACTACAACCATGCTGGTGAGGAAGAGACAGACATGGGCCCTGGTGCATGTTCCTGATTAATAAACTTCACTTTTTAGAGCGGTTCCAGGTCCACAGCAAAATTAAGAGGAAGATACAGAGATTGCCCAAATGCCCCCTCCCCAGACAGGCACAGCCTCCTCCACCACCAACACCCCCAGAGGGTGCCTCTGTTACACCTGGTGAGCCTGCACCGACACGCTGCCACCCCCCAGGGCCCACAGTTTACGTGAGGGCTCGCTCCCGGGGCCCTGTGCTCCGGGGGCTCTGGTGTGTAAGGACCCGTGCGCACGACGGCAGTCACACGGAGCAGCTTCATTGCCCTAAACCCCCGCGCTCCACCTGCTCACCCCCCACCACCGGCAGCCGCTGCCTGTTCTACTGTCTCCATGGTTTTGCCTTTTCCAGAATGTCATCTGGTCGGAATCACACGGTGTGCAGCCACTTTGGAAAGAACGGAGGTTCCTGACTCAAAAACTTGAAGGTGGACGCAGCAGCCCCACTTCTGGCTTTGCACTGCAAAGCACTGAAAGCAGAGACTCAAACGACACTGGCACACCCATGCTCAAAGCCGCACCTTCACAGCAGCTGAGCAGACGGTGGAACGCTACTCAGCCCTAAAGAGGGAGGGAATCCTGGTGCTCGCTGCAACACGGATGGACCCTGAGGACACTGTGCTGAGTGAAATAAGCCAGACACAAAAAGACAAACACTGTGTGAGTCCACCTGTATGAGGTCCCTGGAGTCACTGATTCGTAAAGACAGAGGAGGGTGGGGGCCGGGGTGGGGCGGTGGGGCTCGTGTCTGATGGGGAAAGTCCCGGTCTGAGAAGAGGAGAAGGTTCTGGACTTGGCGGTGGTGTTGGCTGCACCACGCTGTGATTCAGGTGATGCCACAGAACTGTGCACTTAAAAATGGTTAACATGGTCAAATTTAAGCTATGTAGGTTTTGCCACAATTTAAAACTGAGGAGAAAGCAATTCAAAAGAAAAAGAAAAGAAAACAGCAAAGCAGCGCAATCTTGGAGAGCGATGTATGTGCTCGACATGCTGGGAGGCGTGCGGCGGGAGGAGCCGCACGGGCCCCTGGGGTCAGGCACTCCGCCGCCCGTGTCAGGACGGCGTCTCTGCCTTGGGGACGGTTCTCACTGGGGCATCCCTGCACGTCCAGCTGTCAGCGTGTGTGCACATTTAGTCCAGGTCAGACCCCAGCACACACTCGGCGTCTGCTTTGTCCACACGCTGCCGCCCAGCAGTTGGCGTTCAGGGACATACTGCCCCTCACCTGACGTGAGACCCCTGTGGGCACCAAGATGCCACCAGGGCCAGCGCCGCAGGGCAAAGGCCCAGGCACAGGCCTGGCTCCCCGGAGAGAGTCGTGCTGACCAGGAGGGCTTTCTGGAGGAGGCAGGCCTGCAGCGGCCCAGCTGAGAGGTGCCCTGCTCGGCCTGGGCAGTGAGTCTTCTGCTCGCAAGGGAGCGACTGCTCCCCACCCCTGCATGGACGGAGCCGCGGCGCTCAGCCTGGGGGACTGGCTTCCCGCCGGCACAAGACTCAAGGTAGCTGACGTCGCTGGAGAGCACGGGACGGCCGATTCATCAGCAGGACTCATGGTTCAGCAGGGCAGAGCCGGCTCCAGCTGCAGGGACAGTGCGACCGGCTGGCGTTTCCGCCTCTGCAAGGGGTGTCCCCACCATCAGGACAGACACACCTTTGCTGTTCAATTACACTTGTAACCCACTGCTCCTGGGCTTTGAACCCCAAGTGCACTACCTGGAACCGCTGCAAGAAAGCCTTCAGGGTGTCGGCCGAAATGCCACACAGGAACTTGGAAGTGAGTGCAGACACACCAGAAGCAGGCTCTCCCACCTCTAGGGTGACTCAGAGGCTGCGAACCCCCAGGAGAAAGAATGAGGCCGCCGTCTGGAGGCGACGTCGCCTCGTTCACCTTCGAGCGGAGCAGGGGCGGGGACGCGGGGCTGGACCCGCGGTGTGTCCAGGGAGGTCGGATGGGGGAGCCAAGACCCGCCAGGTGAGAGGCCACCAGTCGGGGGTCATGCTGCGTGAGGTGGGCCCGGGTGCTAACGATGCCAACCCCCAGACAGCGCTCAGACCTCAGGCCTTGGCGGGCTCGGGACAAGGTTCCCACACAGGCCACAGGGACAAGCTCGGGACCCTCCACCAGCAAGACTCTGAGTGAAGGGGAGGGCCACCCTGAGCCTCCAAAAACGTCCTCCCTCAGGGCCCCAGGAATGCACCGCAGCAAGGCGGGGCCCGGGGAGGGGAAGGCTCCAGCCAGCCAGACGAGACTTCTCCCAGCTTCGCTTGGCTGCTGGCTGCCCGGCCCCCACCTCCTCCAGCCAGGCCCTCAGGATGAGAGAGCCTGTCCACTGACGGCCAGAACGAGTCCCAGCTGTGAACTGGGCAACTTCGTTCCCAGGAAAATCAGATCCCATCGCAACCAGCTTCCATGACCCACGTGGATCCCATTAAATGAAACCAAAACCAATTTTGGGGGATCCCGGGGGCATCACACTTGCACAGGGGAGATGGCCTCAGGAACATGCTGGCCAGGAGGGAGAGGGCAAGCCAGCCCCCGGTGGGAACCGCAGGCCGCCCCGCCCCCCACGTGCCGCTGCCCCGCACAGCCCCACTCCCGCCCAGGAAGGCCATCCCAGGGACCTGCTTGCTGTCATCAGCTACGGTTTAGACAGTGAAAGGAGCTGTCACCACGCAGCGGCAGGACACTGGGCTGGGGGGGCGCTGGCCCCCAGCAAACGTCCTGACCCCTCTCTGCTGGCCGCACAGTTGGCCTGGCTGCGAGGTCGCCGGGCCGCTGCCCTCTGACTGGCGCTGAGCACCACAGCAGGATCAGGTCT